CAATTGAAGGTTTTAAAGCTTGGTGGGCACAATATNTGAGATTTCGAATCATTTCGAAGTCCATGAAACAAAGATTAGAAAGAACCATGTTTTCAAAAATTACAAGAGAGGGCATTAATTTGAGTACTGTTCCAATGAATGAAGAAACAAATGAAGCTATTGAAGCATTCTTAACTTGTCACTCTGATTTTGAGAAAAACAAACTTCAAGGTACAGAATTTAGTGGAAACTTGATTTTAAGAAATTCCAAAGGCAATTATGGTAGTTTTCAAACTCCTTTCAATGATGGAGCCATTCTTCCACATAATGATAAAGTCATTCCACCAAAAGAAAGGGCGAATGAAAGTATTGATCCTTCCTTGATGTTTGATAAGGATTATATTGAAAAGGTCATTAATGAGATTTCCAATGAATCAAATGATAGATACACTCCATTTGAAAAGCATTTTTATTCAGAAGGAGATGTGATTCCAAATCAAATATTCGCTAAAGCTCAATCATTTCCTCTATTTGGTTCACGTACTACATTGCACAATCCTTATATCAAACACGGAATTGTTAATTTGAGTAGACTGTCTTGGGTTAATGGATTGACTGAATTGGAAGAGTTGACTGTTTTGATTGATTTCACAGATTTTCATTCACGCATCCAACAATCAACTCTAACTCAACGTAAAAAACTCAAGAAACTTAACTTTGTAATATATGCTAAATCTGGCTTTTCTTGGCAAATGATTGAGCAACTTATGGAAAAAACTCTTGACTTTGGAGGTTTGTTGACAATTTATGCAGATATGGACAATCAATATTTGAGTCCTTTCAGTGACCCCTCTTTTGAAACATCTGTTTTTCGTTTAGATCAACCAATCAGAACATCCATTGATTTTAAAGATTTAAAACTAGTTTTAAAACCAATTCAAGAATTTTCAGTCACAAAAGAAATTTTAGAAAGGGGTTGGTATAGACCTGTGAAACAGTCACCAATGCCAATGAAATCACCTTCACATTCAATCGAATCCGAGGAGATAAAGGATCCAATCTTTGGAGCTAATTTTTTCGACACCCACCAAAAGAAGGAATTGATCAAGTACTTTGCTAATAATGGTTATCCATTCGAGTGGCACAAATCTAAAACTCAATTAGATGAGGCATTTGTTCAATACTACCTTCACTTAATGAATGTCAATCAAGCAAGATTGAATTATCATGGAAGTATTAATCCAAGTGATCGCAGCAGAAAACTCTTGGATGTTATTGTCTGGGGTTATGATATTACAATTTGTCCTGAAGTTATTTTCGATTTGTGTACTATTTTTGGAAATATTGGTGTGAAATTAACGATTGAAAAATTGAAAACTATTCCGAATTATATTAACGTGGACAAATTTGAAACTCTAATTTGGAGCTTAGAAATCCACAATGGTTATTAC